CCTGCCCGCAGAGCCGGTGCACACGCTGAGCGAGGTCCTGTTCTGCCAGCCGGCCATGCCCTCGCTGGGGCTGGCGCTGGCCTTCGACGGGGACCAACTCTTCTGGTTCGACTTCCCCCGCTCACGCTGGACTCCCCGCCTGCCTGACCTCCCCCCGTGGCCCTCGGCGCTGGAGCCCCCCGCGCAGCTCCTCCGCGACGCCACCCTCTGCCAGGACCTGCGCCGCGGCATCAGCGCCATGGCCACCGGGCTGCTGCCCGAGGCCAAGGGTAGGTGACGGGATGGGTGTCATGGCCATCATCCTTGGCCACCACATGCCACCATGGTCCCATTGACAGGGCCTCCACAGCGTCCTCCTCTGTTGGATGGAGTTGATGGATGGAGATGATGGATGGAGTTAGGTCAATGGTTGGGTTGATGGATGGACCATTAGGTCAGTGGTTGGGTTGGAGTGGTCCGTGCTGGGACCAGCACCATTGTCCCATTGACGTGGCCTCCACATCGTCCTCCTCTCAGTGGGATGGAGTTGATGGTTGGGTTGATGGATGGAGTTAGTTCAATGGTTGGGTTGGATGGTGGCATCCAGAGGGTTGTGGTCAATGGCTCCATGCCCAGATGGAGACCAGTGACGAGTGGTGTCCCTTGCTGGTCCATGCTGGGACCAACTCCATTGTCCCACTGATGGTGCCTTCACAGCGTCCTCCTTTCTCAATTGAATGGAATTGATGGTTGAAGCATTAGGTCAATGGTTGGGTTGATGGATGGAGCATTAGGTCAATAGTTGGGTTGGAGTGGTCCATGCTGGGACCAGCACCATTGTCCCGTTGATGTGGCCTCCACAACGTCCTCATCTCTCGATGAGATGGAGCTGATGGATGGAGTTGATGGAGTTAGGTCAATGGTTGGGTTGGATGATGGCATCCAGAGGGGTATGGTCAATGGTTTCATGGCCAGCTGGAGACCAGTGATGAGTGGTGTCCCTCACTGGTCCATACTGTGACCAACTCCATCATCCTGTTGATGGGGCCTCCACAGTGTCCTCCTCTCAGTGGGATGGAGCTGATGGATGGAGTGTTAGTTCAAAGGTTGGGTTGGATGGTGGCATCCAGAGGGTTGTGGTCAATGGCTCCATACCCAGATGGAGACCAGTGATGAGTGGTGTCCCTCACTGGTCCATACTGTGACCAACTCCATCATCCTGTTGATGGGGCCTCCACAGTGTCCTCCTCTCAGTGGGATGGAGCTGATGGATGGAGTTTGGTCAATGGTTGGGTTGATGGATGGAGTTAGTTCAATGGCTGGGTTAGATTGGTCCATACTAGGACCAGCATCATCATCACGTTGATGTGGCCTCCGCAACGTCCTCCTCTCTCACTTGGATGGAGTTGATGGTTGGGTTGATGGATGGAGTTAGTTCAGTGGTTGGGTTGGATGGTGGCATCCATAGGTTCATGATCAATGTCTCCATTGCCAGATGGAGAATGGCGGTGAATGGTGTCCATTAGGGATCCCTACTGGGACCGACACCATCGTCCTATTGATGAGGCCTCCACAACGTCCTCATCTCTCAATGGGATGGAGTTGATGGATGGAGTTAGGTCAATGGTTGGGTTGGACTGGTCTCTGCTGGGACCAACATCATCATCCCGTTGATGGGTGCTCCACAACGTCCTCTCAGTGGGATGGGGTTGATGGATGGGGCCTTAGGTCAATGTTGGGTTGGATTGGTCCATACTGGGACCAACACCATCGTCCCATTGATGGGGCCTCCACAACGTCCTCCTTTCTCAATTGAATGGAATTGATGGATGAAGCATTAGGTCAATGGTTGCATTGACGGATGGACCGTTAGGTTAATAGTTGGGTTGGAGGGGTCCATACTGGGACCAGCACCATCGTCCCTTTGACATGGACCTCCACAACATCCTCATCTCTCAATGGGATGGAACTGATGGATGGAGTTGATGGATGGACTTAGGTCAATGGTTGGGTTGATGAATGGACCATTAGGTCAATGGTTGGGTTGGATGGTGGCATCTATAGGGTCATGGTCAATGGTTTCATGCCTGGATGGAGACCAGTGATGAGTGGTGTCCCTCACTGATCCATACTGGGACCGACACCATCACCGCATTGATGAGGCCTCTACAACGTCCCCCTCTGTTGGCTGGAGCTGATGGATGGAGTTAGGTCAATGGTTGGGTTGGGAGGGTCCATACTGGGATGTCCCTGCTCCTGGAGGAGGTGACCTCCAAAGGTCCCAGCCACCCCAAATTTGACGGATCCTTTGGTGGCTCCCACCCACCCCATCCCCTCTCACCCACTGCAGGTGTCCCCTTGGCCGACGTCTTCCCCATGCAGCCGGCGGTGCTGGGTGAGGCCACCACCCTGGTGTGTGTTGTGGAGAACGTCTTCCCGCCGGCGGTGGACATCAGCTGGCAGCTGGACGGGGTCCCCGTCACCCGCGGCGTCACCCACACCCACTACACCCCCACCCCCGACCTGGCCTTCGTCCGCTTCTCCTACCTGCAGGTGACGCCGGCCGCCGGGGACGTCTACGCCTGCGTCATCACCCACGAAGGGGACAACTCCTCCGTCGTCGCCTACTGGGGTGAGTGCGGGGGATGCTGGGGGACACCAGGGGGACACTGGGGGTGGTGGTGACCCTCATCGTGGTGTTCACTTCCCCCCAATAGTGCCCCAAAACCCGGTCCTCTCAGAGGAGCTGGAGACAGCGCTATGCGGCGCCGCCATGGTCCTGGGCATCCTCCTGGGGCTGCTGGGTGTCACCATGATGGTGGTGGCGCGGCGGAGGGGTCACGGTAGGTTTGGGGACCCCCTCCAGTGATGGGGGGGTGGGGGTGACTGGGGGCTGTCACCAAATCCTGCTCTCGTGTCCCCAAGGTTGAGCACGGGACGATGCAGAGGATGGTGTCGCTCGGTGCAGGAGTGGAGATGGTGGTGGTGGCTCCCTCTCGGCCGTGCCTCAGTTTCCCCACTGCCAAAGGCTGGGACGTGGCCATTGCGGTGGCACCTCCTCTGTCTGATATTGGGGTTGGGCTGGATCTCACCTCCCCCAAAAAAAACCACCTGAACTGCAGAGCCGTGCCTCAATTTCCCCACTGGGAAAGGGCGGGAAGGAGGGAAGTGGCTTTTCCACTGGCTGGTATTGGGGTTCAGCTGCATCACATCCCCCCAGAGAGCTGTCCCTGGAGCCATGCCTCAGTTTCCCCACTGCCAAAGGCTGAGAGGTGACTGCAATGGTGGCTTCTTCAAGGTCTCATATTGGGGTTGAGCTGGATTGCACCTCACCAAGAGCCTTCCCCAGAGCCGTGCCTCAGTTTCCTCACTGCTAAAAGCTGAGATGTGGCCATTGCAGTGGCTTCTCCACTGTCTGATATTGGGGTTCAGCCAGAGTGCACCTCACAAAGAGCTGTCCCCAGAGCCGTGCCTCAGTTTCCCCACTGCCAAAGGGTAGGAAGGCAGGGGCAGTCCTGGGGAAGACACGGTGGTGACTTCTCCAGTGTCTGATATTGGGGTTGGGCTCCATTGCACCCTCAAAGACCCATTCCGAGAGCCATGCCTCAGTTTCCCCACTGCTAAAAACTGAGATGTGGCCATTGCAGTGGCTTTCCCACTGTCTGATATTGGGGTTCAGCTGCATCACATCCCCCCAAAAAGCTGTTCTGCAGAGCCGTGCCTCAGTTTCCCCACTGCAGCGGGACTCCCCACAGTGCCCATCCCAGCACCAGGGCAGGGTCCACTCGTCTTCACCCAGCACCAGTGACGCAGGGCCCTGGGGACAAGCCCTGAGGAGGAGGAGGGAGGTGGCGGGGGACAAAAGCAGCACCCATCATCACCCGTTGGGTGGCCGCTTGCCTCGGTGGTGACAGCGCCTGCGTGCACGGGTGTTGCACGGGGACATCGTATGGGACATTGCATGGGGACACTGCATGGGGCATTGGATGGGACGTTGCACAGGGAGGTTGCACAGGGAGGTTGCACAGGGAGGGAACGTTTCTTGGGGACGTTGGGGACATTGCATGGGGACGCTGCACAGGGACATTGCATGGGGAGAGGACGTTCCTTGGTGATGTTTCATAGGGACATTGGATGGGGATGTTGGATGGGGATGTGGAATGGGGACATTGTGTGGGGATGTTACACAGGAACGTTGCACGAGGACATCGTATGGGGACATTGCACAGGGACATTTTACGGGGACATTACATGGGGAGGGGATGTTTCATGGGGACATTGCACAGGGACATTGCACAGGGACATTGCATGGGGATCCACACAAGGACATTGTGACGTGAGGAGGGGACCGTCCCCAGCACTGACTGTCCCCTCCCTGCATCCACATCGTCCCCATCCCCAACGCCCCCAATGCCAACCTCCTCACCTGTCACCCCCTTGGTGGCCGTCACCAATGGGGACACGGTGGCCATGGGGGACCCTGATGGCCACCACCAGGGTTGGGGATGCCTCAGTGGGGTGAGTTGGGGTGACGGGGATGTGGAACCCAGACGTTCCCAGTGTCCCAGCTCTGTCCCCACAGGTCCCTGGGGTTAGTGGTGGTGGTGACAATGACCCTGGGAGTGGTGGCTTTGGTTGCTGACACCTTTGGCTGCTGTCACCAGGGTGAGGGACACGTGTGGGGACACACTGGAGGACAAGTGGGGGACACAGCACCCACACAAATTAGGGGTGTCCCTAATTTGGTGTCTTACGTCTGTCAGGTCCTGGTCCTGGAGCTGGTCCTGGATCAGGTCTTGGTCCTGGTCCTGATGTTGAATCTGGTCCCACATCTGGTCCCAGTCCTAATCCTGATCCTGATCATGGTCCTGGTTCATGTCCTGGTCCTGGGCTCAGATCTGGTCCCAGTCCTGCTCTTGGTCCTGGTCTAAGTCCTGATCCTGATCCCAATCCCAGATCTGGTTCTGGTCCTGGTCTCAGTCCCAAATCTTGTCCCAGTCCTGATCTTGGTCCCAGCCTTGATCCTGGTTCTCATTCTGGTCCTGGATCTGGTCCTAATCCTGGTTCTGGTCCTGGTCTCAGATCTGGTCTCAGTCCTGATCCTGGTCCTGATCCTGGTCCTGGCCCTGATCCCAGATCTGGTCCCAGTCCTGATTCTGGTCCTGGTCCTGGTTCTTGTCCTGGTCCTGATTCATGTCCTAGTCATGGTCCTGGATCTGATTCCAGCCCTGATGCTGGTCCTGGCCCCAATCCTTATCTTGGTCCTGGTCCAGGTTCTGATCCTGATTCTGATTCTGGTGTTAGTCCAAGATCTGGTCCCAGTCCCAGTCCTGGTCCTGATATCAGTCCTGATCCTGGTCCTAATCCTGATCCTGGTCCTGATTCTGGTCTCAGATCTGGTTCCAGATCTGATCCCAATCCTGAATTTAGTCCTCATCTTGGATCTGGTCCTACATTTGGTCCCAGTCTTAATCCTAATCCTGATCCTGATCCTGGTTCTGGTTCTTGTCCTGGTCCTGGTTCACATCCTGATCCTGATCCCAGATCGGGTCCCAGTCCTAATCCTGATCCTGGACTCAGTCCTGATCCTGGCCTTGATCCTGATCTCGATCCTGGTTCTGGTCCCCCCATGGCCACGAGTGCCCACGCTGTGACCAAACCCTGAGCTCCCAGCATCCCCCCCCAACTGCCACGACCCCCACCCCACAGCAGGCATGGGGTGCTGGGACCCCCCCATGGACCCAGCCTGGGGGTGCCCGGTCAGAAATA